AACCCTCCCTGGACTCTTAAAGTAGACATGGGGATTGCTTCAGAGACAGAATATAACAGAGTGAATTCCAAAAGCCATTATTACCTTTTCTTTTGCTTTATTTGGCTTGTGGCAAAATCTTGAGAGTTTGTTTTTTTGAGGGAGCCATTGAAGACAGTATTAAGGTACCTTCACAGGTCTTCCACTTCCTCAACATAGCTGACTAGGCATTCTGATAGGCCCTCCCTCCAAGCTATGAATCAACATACCATAAAAGTACCACAAATCCTCTTAAATGCACAGCTGAGAATGCAAGAAAGGAAGAGAGATAACCAAGTACCAAACATAGAGAAAAACCTAGAGATAATGTTTTAGCTAAAGTTGGGCTTCCTCGAAGGCCAGAACCTTGGCTTTTAAGGCTCTGAAGGCCATGGAAGAAACGGTCTTCCTCCCTATGCAATAACTAAGGCACCCTTACCCACCAGCACAATGCCAGGACCCTCAAAAAGTGACATGCTCATTTAAAAAATAGACTAGAAAAGCAAAATTCACCTGCCAGAGTTAAGAACTCAGCCTTATCTCTAGGTGAGCAAAAACTTTCCCAGAAAATTATAACTGCCTCGCCCTCATTCAGGTTGGGAGTTTAAATTTATACTACCTATGTGGTCCAGGAACTCCAAACTGAAAAAGTGAAATGGTCTATTGGTAGCACCCTATGGCACTTGGTAAAAAAATAAGTTCAAATCCTCTCTGGTAGAATGTCCCATCATTCAAAATCCCTCAGGATTCCTACAAATGAAGGTCAACCAAATATGAACTCACACACCAAATGTCAAAACACAGACACCATCGTGAGCAATTTACAGTTATTCTTTCAAGAATTATTCTTGAAGACCTGCTCAATGCAAAACATCAAAGTAGGCCATGAAAAGGAGAAAAAGCAGTTAGGGTACATATACTAATATGTAGACGAACTCCTGTCATAAAAGACAATGCATATAACAATAACTATTCAAATATACAATACAGATCAAAAGAACAATGGAAGTTCAGAAAAGTAGGGACCAAGTGACTCTGGAAAGTTTAGAGAAGATTGCATGGTATCAATCTGGAATCAATCTGGACACTGAAACATTCAGACATTTCCACATTCTGTGTTTCACATGCATTCATCCAGTGCTCTCTCAATGTGCGAAACACTGCACTAGATCCTGGGAGGTGGAAAGAAAAATAAGACCAGGTACCTTCTCTTTAAGACCTCATGGTCTAGTGGAGGAGACAGATCCATAAAAAGGCGACTCTCAACCAACATGGTGAAGGCAAGACAGGATAAAGGCTCAGGACCTGATGGGATTTACATAGGACATTCTGAAAGGCATTCTGAGTGTCCCAAACTGTGTGGGCACAGAATGGTGAGGTTTTGCTAGCATGCATGCAAGTGTGGGCTTGCTTTTTTGTAGGCTGGAGGCATTTAAAAAACCACATTAAAAATCATTATAGCACATTCCTGGGGAAATCTTGCACAAGTGTATCCATAGAGGATCATTTTAACAAAATGTGTGCTTCAGAGACTCATGTTGTGACTTAATTCTTACAATTATTCTGCCTTAGCAAAAGAAGTTCATGGAAAGCAAGCGTGCTACACATTCAATTTCATAGCAAAATCAATAGTTTCCTGGTGTCCAAAACATGTCGACGTGTTCTGCCACTTCACCAATGCCGCTAATAATTCAGTCCGGAGTCGGTCTATGAAGCTGAATCTGGTGCCTGGTGAGAGCATTTTCAATTATTTTAAAGCGTTGTACTCATGGGCAGGAATTTACCTATTTATTCACTCCCACATTCATCCATTCTATAATAGAAGTTGAACACCTTCCTATGGCATGCCTTAGGCTAAGCATGGGGGATTTGAAAAGAAATAAGCCATGTTTCCTAGCTCCATGCTTGGGGAGAGATAGATGTGGTCAAGAATGTAAGTGCTAAACTAGAGACTTTGTGGGTGGCCAGAGAGGCTGCCTGGTGATAGATAGGTGGGGAGAAAGTGATCAAGAAAGTCGTGCAGGTGAAGTCATATTTCAGCTGAGTCTGGGAGGCTACCCACTGCACAGGGCAGACACGTGCCTGAATTCCAGCTGGAGGGATTCTGATTTACTTGGGCTGTAGTGAGCCTGGATGTTGGTATTTTCCGAGCTCTCGAGGTGATTCTAAGATGCCAGAGTTGAGAATCCCTTGGGTGAAGGCATTACAGTGGGGCCTTGACTTACGAGTTTAATTCGTTCCAAGACCGAGCTCATTAAGGAGCTCGTTAACTCAAATTACTCTATCAACTCAATGCAAAAAATTGTCCGAGAGACAGCTGGTATCTCAAAAAACTCATTAGTCGGGACACTCGTAAGTCAAGACCCCACTGTATATCCCTAAGGCTCCTGGAAACCTGAATATCTCTCATTTGGCTGAGCCCATATTAAGCTCTCATTATTGTCCATGGCTGAGATAGTCCAGGCAGCAGAGAGAAGTTTCCCGAGGCCTGGAGGTGGGAAATAAATCCTGTTAGGAAAATCAAGTGCAGATTAAAGTCAGATGTATATGGAAAACACTAAGAGGCTTTGGAAAGCCAGGGACAACATAAAGACTGGCTACCTCCAAAAAAGTCACTGAAAGTAAAGGGGAAATTAGTTCAAACATCAAAATTCTACCTGGGCCAGACCCCATTCCCACTTTCTTTTCTCCTCCTTTCAGTTGTCCCTTTTATCTCCACATTCTCAATGCAGGAGAGAACATCACATGTCGAGATCCCATAATTGGTGTGGGGGAGCCTGGGAAAGTGATTCCGAAGCTCTGCCGGTTCTCGAACCTGTCCAGCAGCCCTGCGAGTCCTGTTGGTGGGGTCGTGACCTACAAATGTGTGGGCTCCCAATGGGAGGTGAAGACAAGCGACTGCATCTCTGCCCCAATAAACAGTCTGCTCCAGTTGGCCAAGGTGATCCTCAAAACTTTGACTCTGAGGTCTTCGTGGGGTCATCTGTCTGGCTTATCATGTCTCAGCACTAAGGAAAATGGGCTTTGGGCTGGTTTGTGTTGCTCTCAAAACTACTTTTATTTGTTTCTTTCCTAAAAAAAGGACAAACCAAGAAATGCTTAAAAATTGGTTTAAATACAAATATGGAGGTAACAAAATATGTGTTTTGCTTTAAAAACAGCCATATACCTTTACCTTGTCTTCTCAGTACCTTCTATTCGTTGCCTGCAAGGGGTAGGTAGTATTATCCTCACTACCTGCTGTCCTTCGAATAATTTTTATATTAAGCAAATAGCTCTAATCTTTTAAGAAAGAAGAGCAACATAAACAAATAAGATAGACGATTGAAAAAAAAAAAAGTTGGGCTTTATACTTTTACAGGTCTGAGATTTCCTCAATCCTTAGAGGTAACCAGTAGTTACAGAACAAGGGACTAGCTTACCTCTTTTACCTAGAATAGAGGTTACTGTCATGTAGTAAGGGAAAATTCCTTTCTTTCCATCAAAATAGATAAATGCCACCTCATACTTAAGTCATTGAAAGTTAGAGACTCCTAAAATTCCACGAGTTACAATAAATAAATACTGATGAGGCAACTAGTGGGGTTATAGCAGATGGTGACATCTTCGGACAGCTGGTTTCAAATTCTCTCACCCTTGGAGGGAGAATTGAGGAAAAGAGGTGATATTAACTTATGTTCTATCTGGTTCTCCTCTTGTCTTATACCAAATTCATTAAAAATACCTACTATGTACAAAACATTATTATAGATGCTATCAGGGTAAAGAGGCCAAATCTGATTTGATAGATAATATGACATTAAATATACATTAATTTTGGTTAGGATAATCGGGAAGTGCTTCTTAAAAAACTTGGCATCTGAGTTGGACCATGATGGACAAAGTATTGGAGATATAAATTATCCTAATTGAGAAAGAGAGAAAGTATAATTTGGACTCAACATTGGGCCATGGTACCAATTCTAGATACTTAGATACATTGTCAATATAAAAGAGGCATGCTGGCCTATCACATTCCATTAATTTATCCATTCAACATATACTGTCGAAAACCTACTGTGTGCCAAGTTAGATGACTGTACTATGTTAGATATTATGGGATATGAGAAGAACAAAAAGAAATATGTCATATTTTTCACATTGTTAAGGAGATTATATTTAATTGGAGACATTGAAATTAGAATACAAGATGACTTTCATAAAAATATCACAAATGTGAAGTATACTAAGTAAGATGAATACTTATGCATTCAAAGGAATAAATTTCCATGTTGGAACACTCATCAAAGTTCTTCATAGAGAAGATCTAACCTGAGTTAATTCTTTAATTTTAAGTATGAGTTAGATAGAAAACACAAGTGTGATGATTACAGGTAGGGTGACAATATCATTTATCATAGAGACCAGGACACTTTTAGAAAATAAAAGAGGGTCTGTTAATAATTACATGGTGACAGAAGTTATATACCAGAACTGTTCCAGGAAAACTGGGACAGTCACCCAACAGAGGAAATGATTATAAAAAGGAAAGAGTAGCCAATGTGCTTCCATACGGACCATCTAAGTATCAGTTTCATTCAACTTTAATCTAGTTCTCTAACAATCACACCTTTTTTTTCCTCAATCAGTCATCAGGTTGACATGTTTTTCCGTTCTCCTATGTGTGAGGTCTTATGTAATATTCCATTCTGAAGGGCACACACAGTTTAAAAGAAAAATAAGTTATTTTATGAGATATACTCATGGGTATGGATAAAAAAGGAAGCTATGGATAGGAGAGATTTTGTCATGGACGGATCAGCATGATCTGATGACCGAACTGATTGACAAGTGTTTTGTTTGTTTGTGTTGGCTTTTGTGTTGCTAGGCTTTGAGCAAGAGTCCCTCTCAGGACAAGAAGCTGCCTACATACCTGAAGGACCTTTCTGTCAGCACCGACAAGGTGGCACATGAAGTCAGTTCATCTCCGGGGAACCTGGGAGCCATTGTTAACATCCTTGATTTGCTCTCAACAGTTCCGATCCAAGTGAATTCAGAAATGATGACGGTGAGTTTGTTTAAGCCTTGCAGGAGTTTGGAGGTCTTGTCTTTTCACCCCTCAGGACTTGTGGTCAAAAGAGATAACACCTCCCCATTATAGCTTCTTCTCTGTCATTTCCAGAGCAGTGTCCTAGTTATGAGAGTCACATAACATGCTCTGCCACTATGGCTTTTAGGATATCAGGGGGTTCCCTATTTTCATTTTGGGACTTTAAGAAGATTTCTTTAGTGAATCTCTGCTTTAATATCTTCATTAAAATAGAATGAATTGTTATCTTCTTTCTAGGAAAAGTAGTAATTAAAGGTTTTCAGAATAGAATGCTCAAAGGTCTAGCACTAAACAGAACTCTGAAGCAGTCAGGATTCTGGGAGGAAAGAGAATTCACCCGCAAGAATGCTGATGAAGAGACTTGAATGAAAGGTTGTTTCAAGGCATAAAGCCAGGATTTAAAAATAGGGGACGGGGTGAGGTATTCAGAGACCAGCAACATTTAGGAGCCATTACTATCCCTGGGAATAAAGGAGAAAGAGGAAACAATGTACCCACAGCTGAGTGACAGCTGAATCCGTGACGAGGGCTCACTCAGCAAGAGCTGTAGTTTCAGAGGGACATAGCTATTGCCAAAGATGTGCTTAGATGGTGTGGATGGGGGTGTGGGGTATAGTGGGTCGTAGAAAAATCTATTTCAACTTTTTTCTTCTCCCATCATCCCGTCCCCTGCCAGTGCTTCCCACTGGCCAAACCCAACCAGGGATTTCCTAGGGCTGCTATTCCAAATTGCCACAAACTGGGTGGCTTACAATGACAGAAATTTTTTCTTCCAGGGTTTTCAAGGATAGAAGTCCAAACTCAAGGTGTCTGCAGGGCCATGTTCCCTCTGAAGGCTTCAGGGGAGGAGAGTCTTTCCTTGCCTCTTCCAGATTCTAGTAGTGCTAGGCTCTTGTTGGCTTGTAGCTGCCTCCTTCTAATCTCTGACTTGCTCTTCACAAGACCTTCTTTCTTCCATTTATCTTCTCCTTTTCTATCTCTTATATGGATAATTGTCATTGAATTTAGGGCTCACCTAGGTAATCCAGGATGGTTTCCTCTCAAGATCCTTACCTAAATTACATCTATGAAGACCCTTTCTCCAGATAAGGTCACATTCACAGGGTCTGTGTATGGAACATGTCATTTTGGGGGCTACTAGTCAACTAACTATAGGGCTCATAGTTTCAGAGAACAAAAGTTTAAAAAGGGTAGAGAGATTATATTGAGAGAAGGCACACATAGAAAATGACAAGCCCGAGTTTATGAGAGAAAGAATCAAAATGTTTAGCAAAAAAAGAAAGATGCTTTTGACAACAGCATTGCTCATTTGATTCTCAGCATGTGAGAGGGTCTTTTGTGACTACCTTGTGGGTGAAATACCAGCCACCAAAAAGCCTTTACAAGCTTGAGGTTAAAGATAAAATAAAACAATTAATGAAGCTCTCTGCCAGCCTACTGAATTGGCCTTAGTGGGTGGTTGAGGGTGGTTCTCACTATCACTATTGCTGAATCTTTAACTAAGTCTCACTGTCTTGGAGACCAACCCATCCTCTGCTAACTCCCTGCCATAAGAAGGTGGGTCCCAGGTCCCCACAGCCTGTGATGCCTCCTTTTCCTCTTACCTGTACTCACTCAATCAGCTTCCAAAGAGATGATATTTTTTTCTCTTGTATAATGGAAAGAATTGATTTGATTTGATCCCATGTCATGTCAATTACAGAACGTTCTCTCTACGGTCAATGTCATCCTCGACAAGCCCATCCTGAGTACGTGGAAGGTGTTACAACAGCAACAGACCAATCACAGCTCACAGTTACTAGATTCGGTGGAAAGATTTTCCCGAGCACTACGGTCAGAAAATAGCACCGTTTTGTCCATCTCCCACACGAACGTGCAGATGAGGGGCATGGTAATAAAATCTGGCTCTCCAAAACCCTACCAACAGAAGTTTGTTTTCTCAGACTCCGACCTCTGGGGCGATGTGGCTATTGACGAGTGCCATGTGGAGAACCTGCAGCCAGACACATCTATTGTCACCGTGGCTTTCCCAACTCTCAAAACCATCCTCGCCCAGGATACTCAGGGGAAGAATTTTGCCAACAGCTTAGTGATGACAACCACTGTCAGCCACAAAATAACCGCTCCATTCAGGATTTCAATGACTTTTAAGAACAACAACTCCTTACGTGGGAAACCACAATGTGTCTTCTGGAACTTCAGCCTCGCCAACTATACAGGAGGGTGGGATAGCAGTGGGTGCTATATGAAAGTCGATGGGGACAGTGTCTTGTGCAGCTGTGACCACCTAACATCATTCTCCATCCTCATGTCTCCTGACTCCCCGGACCCTGATTCTCTCCTGAAAATACTTTTGGATATCATTTCCTACATTGGGTTGTGCTTTTCCATCCTGAGCTTAGCAGCCTGTCTAGTTGTGGAAGCTGTGGTGTGGAAGTCAGTGACCAAGAATCGGACTTCCTATATGCGTCACATCTGCATAGTGAACATTGCAGCCTCCCTTCTGGTTGCTGACATCTGGTTCATTGTGGCCTCCACCATCCGGGACCATCACTACGTACTCAATGAGACAGCTTGTGTGGCTGCCACCTTCTTCATCCACTTCTTCTACCTCAGCGTCTTTTTCTGGATGCTGACTCTGGGCCTCATGCTCTTCTACCGCCTGGTTTTCATCCTGCATGATTCAAGCAAATCCATTCAGAAAGCTATTGCATTTTCTCTCGGCTATGGCTGCCCTCTTATCATCTCAGTCATCACAGTGGGTGCCACTCAGCCTAGGGAAGTCTACACACGGAAGAATGCCTGTTGGCTCAACTGGGAGGATACCAAGGCTCTGTTGGCCTTCGTCATCCCAGCGCTGATCATCGTGGTGGTGAACATGACCATCACGGTTGTGGTCATCACCAAGATCCTGAGACCTTCCATTGGAGACAAGCCCAACAAGCAGGAGAAGAACAGCCTGTTTCAGATCACCAAGAGCATTGGGGTCCTCACACCACTCTTGGGGCTCACCTGGGGTTTTGGCCTCGCCACTGTGTTCCAGGGAAGCAATGCTGTGTTCCATATTGTGTTTACCCTCCTCAATGCCTTCCAGGTAAGTTCTGAAGTGCCAGTCTTGCAGGAAGTATCTAGGCAGGTGGGACAAATTAATGATAGAAACACAAACAGGAGTGGGAATGGGGAAGGATTTTAGTTCAGAGGAGGACCTAGCCCTAAAGAGCAGTAATCACAAGAAAGGACACGTTCCTCTGTTCCCATAGAACCTCATACCTCTTATCACCTGCATTATAATTTAGTTGCACATGTGACTCTCTTCTAAATGCCCTGGTAGTACAAGTAGGAGGAGAGTCCCTTCCCTACACTGGATTTTGCTATTTACCCAACATTATCTTGATGCCATCTTTTATCTCCTAAAAGAAAAAATCCTCTATATAACCAAGTAATCGCTCCAGTTAATTGCCACAAGCATTAAATGAGATCGCTCTTTGAGAGGTCAGGGACAGCATCGGTCTTATCTATCATTATATACCTAGTACCTAAAAATGACCTTGGCCCAAACTATGTGCTGAAAATAACCATTTGACAAATGAAATGAATGCTATGCACCACATAGAATGTTCTCTGGAAGCACTTGATGAAGAACAAAAGAATGAATGTCTTATGTAAGGTGGACATTCTGTTCTATTAAGCTAAAATGGAAAAGACGCCCTCTTTGTTCTCCTGCAGTGCATAACTCATTATAACACAAGCCGATAGGTTAGAAAAGCTTCAGCCGAGGTACAGACAACAAGCCTTTGGAGCACAAGGAAGGAAATGCTTAATTCTGATCTCACGAGTGGGTGGGTAGGAAACACAGGCCCCCATGAGCTGGTGAGGAGGTAGGAGGTCTGGAGGTGAAGTTGAGACAATACCCCCGGATGCAAATTCTAATTTCTGCTACTGGGCCCAAGACTCCAAATTATAGAGCTCATGTCTGATGACATTTATAATATGCCTTGACTAGAAGTAAATGATTATTTCACCCCATGGCTCAGGCCCTCATCATACTATGTGAGGGCTGCTGTAGGCATAAGAGCTATGTCTAATAGCATAACCAGCAGGACCTCCACTTCACAATTGGGGGAAAATAAGGAAATAGAAAATACCCTGATAACATAAAACATTTAAAGTCCCTTGGTGTGGACCTACTGCATCTCTTTTAACATCATGTACTAGGTTCATTCCATAAACACAGGTGTGGGAAGAGGTGGTACAAATTCAATGCCAGGTTAGCAATACTTCCTATTTTGCTGAACAATAGAATATAAGTGAAATGCACTTCTTCCCAATTCTTTTTTTCAGGGACTATTCATTCTGCTCTTTGGGTGCCTCTGGGACCAGAAGGTAAGAACATGACAATTTCATGCTCCTGGAAAAGTCTGAGGTGCTCGTGGCAAGTAGAATTTATGATGGCTTTTTGTTGTTCTTGTTAAACAATGCAGGTACAGGAAGCTTTGCTGAAAAAGTATTCTCTGTCAAGATGGTCTTCACAGCACTCCAAGGTAACTCTTTCCTTTGTAGAGACTTTTGAGAACCCCTCTCTCTCCACAACTAGTTTTGGCATAGATGATTCCAATGTTTTTGCTTCTCGCCTGATTCAACCTATTACACACGCTATGGAACTATCATTAAGATGCTGTCCCCACATCTTTAAACAGGGGACAAATAGCACAGATAATGTCAACTGGAGGTTAAAATCAAATTTCAATGAGAAGTAAACAAGGAGTGTCTGATGAAACTCAGGGCCGTAGAAAACACAATTTGAGAAATAATGATGAATAGAATTTTCTATAATTTGTTTTGGAAAATAACAATTGCACTCAAATATATTTCCCTGTTTACATACGTCAGAAGATACTAAACTCTATAACAATAAAAAACATTTGAAATTTATTTTTCTAATACCAGTGATAATTCCAGGTCTCACGGGGCTCCCACTTGACTGGTTTTAAGGAGAAATTCATGCTTATCCCTGCTCTCACCTTGAAGTGGGATGAGAGATATTCAGACAGTGACCACTAGAGGGCAGCAAATGAATCCGACTAGAGAGAAAGCAGGGCCTTGGTCTAACACATTTGCATGTAATTGTCTTTTTTTTCTCGTTTCTAGTCAACATCCCTAGGTTCGTCGACACCTGTATTTTCTATGAGTTCTCCGATATCAAGAAGATTTAACAATTTGTTTGGTAAAACAGGTAGGTAGTGACCCCTAGGTGCTCCCTGGGTTGACCCAAACAAATTGCCCTGATGGGGAGATTCAAACCCCTGCTTTCCCAGTCCTCACTTCATGACATTTACAATGCCCTCATTGGGGGCAGAGGTTAAATACAGGAACTTGCTTAGACTTTTCCCAAACCACCAGGAGGCTGGTACAGAAGGTAACTTTCTTCAGTGGAACAACTAATAACTTATGAGGAATAAGATTTGGAGAATCTAGAAAAGCCTGCAGACAGCTGTCTGTCAAACGGGTATCAACCCTAACAATGGGGATGTAAACTGCCCGCCTTGTCAAACACTGACCACTCTTCTATTCCTGTGAAATGCGACTAGGCGGGTCATGTTTCTGGGCTGTGGTGCAGCAAAGAATACGTTCAGAAAAGCATATTCTAGAAGCCCATGCTCCGGGTTCCTTTTTTTTTTTTTTGGAAAGTGCATGTTTTACACATTGCCATTTATGAAATCACTCATACATGTCAGAGGGATCCCCAAGTCAGCTATGCTATCCGAAACATGCACAGGTAAGTGTCCACCTTGGAGGCACACAATAAATAATATTAACGGCTTTGGGCAATGGGTCTCAGCTGTTTGGCAAGTTGAAACTCTGTGCCACGCCACTACGGTCTTCATGAAAATAAGCAGCACGGTTCCTTTCAGCTTCTTGAAGCCAACCAGGTCTCACACATGTGGAATCTAGAGTAGTGTCGATGTTCCAGAGCAAGGCTTTTCGTTGTTAAAACTCCAGAGGACTTGGTGTTTCGGGTTTTAGTTTGAGGCATTACACGGAACTGGAGGGCGTTGGCTTTTGATTTTGAAGGTCATGGGTTGGACCTGCTGAGAAGGGACCAGACCCTCAGGGTGTGTTCGCACTGTTGCACTTGACCATCACTGTCGCTGGAATGTGTTTGCCCTTTGCATTAAAGGGAAACTAGGGGAAAGTCTATGAAATGATCCCATGTAACATGGAAGGCCAAGAAAAGCTGTCCATTATTTCTGAATCACACAGACAAAAGTTGGAATTGGAGCTGTTTCCGAGGTCCCAGGGCCTGGGATTCCCGGTCATTGCCACTTGGTAGCCTCTCAGGTCATAAATGCCACTCCCGATGACCTCGTCGAGGGGTCAATAATCACTGTGACTTTGGTTTATGTTGCCAGCAGCCCCACAGGGGCCCCCAAGCAGTGATGGAAACGTTGTTAGCAGTGGCAGTTCACCAATCTGATGGTAGGGTGGCCACTGTGTCCCTTCCCTTGCTCGACACATGTCCCCCACTCTCCCTGTGCTTAGTCCCGGCTTCCTGCTGACACAGCCTGTGTGGTGGCTCCGGGTGCCCTCCCTGCTGCACTCGCTCTCAGCACTTCTGTTAGCATCCCCTGACTTCTCCTCTTTCCTGGTCTTGCCTTTTCTTCCCCTATAGTTTTCTCTTTTCTTTCCATCTCTCCCTTCCCCCCATCACCTTCAACTCAGCTTCCAGACCCTTCCCGAGAGCTTCCCCAAGTCACCCCAATCCAAGGGGACCAGGAGGTTCCCTCCTATGGATGTCCCATGCATGTGGTGGCATGTGGAGGGCAGCCCATGTGGAGACTCTCTGTCCTTTGTAGAAATCTGGCTGCTGGTGTGATGGGAAGTAGTTAGCGCTTGTCTTGTCGGCTGCCTCGCACGCTTGAGAATGACAGATTTGTCTGTTCTCGGGCACTTGAGGAGGGCGGGCATGGGTTTGATTCTGGCACGGCGAGCTTACCTGGCTCTTGGACTAGAGCTCCCCCTCCGGCCTTTAGAAGAAGTCTCCCCACCCCTTCTGTGATCGCCCAGGCTGGTCTTTTGGACTAAGCTGCTGTTCTGTGTTTCAGGAACCTACAATGTTTCCACCCCGGAAACAACCAGCTCATCCTTGGAAAACACATCCAGCGCTTATTCGTTGCTCAACTAAGAACAGGAGAATCCAACCCATGTGACTCTCGGGAAACAGTGGCTGTGCTCTCAAAAAGAGATCCTTTCAAAGCCCTGGGAAACGCATCTCCTCCACAGGCTTCTGGGAGCTGATGCCGAAGAGACTTTTTCAGTAGGGAAGAGCCTTTCTTGTGTAAAGAGGGATGAAAATTAATTGTTCCATTTATTTTGCTGCCCCACCCCCACCCTTTGTGTGATACCAAATGTGTATAGTATTTAAGTGAAACTCAACTTTCCCAAAGCCCAACTCTCTGTCTATATTGTAAAATAGAATTTCAAAGAGACATTTTCACTTTTCACATGTTGGCCACAAAGATAAGCTTTCATTAAAATAAGAAGTAAAAATGCTAGTACCTAGGAAATACTTTCGTGAATTCAAGAAAGGAAGGAAAAGAAGGAAGGAAGGAAGGAAGGAAGGAAGGAAGGAAGGAAGGAAGGAAGGAAGGGAGGAAGGAAGGAAGGAAGGAAGGGAAAAGATAGAGAGAAACAACAGTAAGAACCACATTTTAAGATTTCCATGTTCATGATCCAACACAATTACTAGACAATACAACATTGAGAATTAAGAGGTGGCTCAAAAATGGAAACTAAAAGAAAGCCATGAAAAAGTTTAATACCTTCCTGGTATTTTCTTAGCAAAGGTGGGGGGGGGGAGAAGTGGGGGAAAGATAGAGAGAAAATTACATCATCAGGATGCTTTTAAGTGGATAATAATATTGACCAGAAATTGCATGGAAGGAGACATGATCTTACATATCTATGTTTTTGCATTTAAGGTTTGAGCTAAGTGGAATGAATATGCAAAGGAAGTGTGATAAGCATCCTTTATATGATCCAAGCAAGTCCAACTGCTGATTATATTTTTATAGTTTATAGTTTTTTATAGCTTATCAGAAAAGCCTTATGTTTTGGTTTGTTCCACATTTTGAAAGCAAAAAAAAATGTGTATTTTTTTATCCATTAATTGCCAAATGTGATATATTGCACTGAAAACAGATCCCAACTGTCATATATTATATGTAACAGCTTCCAGGTACTTCTCTGTGCATTATAGACTAGATTTTAATAATCTACAGCACTGTATATTACTGTTATTGTTACTGTGGATCTAGTGGGCTTTGGTGTGTTGTGTAGCTCTCTGTGTATTAACGCTCTCAGTCTTTAAGTCTCCAGACCAATATACATGTAGAGTTTTGTACAGTGTAACTTGTGTTCATTCCAACCACTTGGAAATCTTCCGGAAAGTTCTACAGCTGGCTAGTCCAAGCTCTCACTGACACATCCCCTTGAGGAACAGATGGTGGAGGTTTTCCCAAGAATTTGATTATTTGTGATTTGTGTGTGTGCATGCCTTTCATACAAATACAAATATTTATTAAATTTGCATCCGTATTAAAATCAACCATGTGCTGCAGCTACAGCAACTATATATTCCAACCAAAGTCATCATGAGACAATAACATGTGGGACTACCTGGGAAATGGGGGCCAGGCGCTCCTCATTCAGACCAAGGACCTGCCCACCAGGAAGATAGGACAAAAGGGGCTGAATGCAACAACCATTAGTTTATCAAGGTTCGAAAGAGTTTTCTTTTAAAATTTTAACTCATTAAAAATCTCTTTCTTTTAATTCTAAAGTTTACCCTGGCTTTCTTTTCTTCATGGGGGGTGTGGAGGGGGGTGGCAGGTGGAACAGATAGAAATATTAACAATGTTTAAAGTAAATGAACTCTTTATTTCTACATATTCACGAATGGCCTAGACATGACTCCCACGTTTGCTGAAAGTTGTCACTTCATTATTCCAACTGAATAGTTCATTATTTAAAGCCCCTAAGGGAAACGATCCTTAGGCTACAACATTCTCCAGGGCACAATCAACTGTGGGCGGAGCTCAGCACTGAGAAGATGGAGGACCCGCTGAAGTAGAATTAGACATTAGGGAAAGATTGGCTTTGGCTGATCGGGTGCCTGGGGTTTTATCAGGGAGAACAGAGGCAGGGTTACAGCACAGTGTGAGCCGGGCCGTCTTGACAGGACCAGCCAAGGAAAGCAGAGAGCTGGCGAGGAGGCTGTGGTTCTCATGTTCAAAAACACAATGGGACCAGAAACACTGAGTTCCAGCCCCTTCTGTAGGGCTCCTTTGGGAACCATTGAGGTTGACGTTGTGAAAGGAACCTCTGTAATGGCAGGAACCTTTGGCAGCGTTCCACAGAATGTGCATCTGGCCGTCTGCCCACATTCGTTAACTGAGGCACGTTCCCTTACTACATACGTGCGCGTGCACACACACACACACACACACCACCCGAGGCGTGCATGTGCCTCCCACCTCATGAGCCACAGCACTGGATGCAAATTCCAGAAAAGCTATGTAAACAAAAAGTTGGAGAAATAATTTTTGGTTTTCTCTCCCACCTGCAAGATACATAGTTCAAGCCCTGCTCTTGGCCAAGAGTATCCTAAACTGAGCAGTAGAATTCAAAGCCGTAAAGGAGCGCGCCCATGAATCTGTAATTGTATGAAAGTGAGCAATTGGTGACACTGGTTAACAAAATTATTCCGGTCTCAGGTGCACAATTCCACAACACATCATCTGTACACTGTATTTATTGTGTGTTCACCACCCCAAGTCAAGTCTCTGTCCATCACCAGGTATCACCCATACCCTCCTTCACCTCCCCCCATCCCCATCACGTCACCTCTTGAATGAGTCACATGTTCACCATCCTTTCCCCTGTTTCTTATTGTTTGTGTGGACAAAGAAGGGAATGAAGCGTTCATGGATTGTTCAGGAGTAGGTTGCTCGGGCCAGAAATGAACACAGTGGGAAATCACAACCTTTTGTTGTTTGTGTAAAGAACTTCAGAGGGGCCTGTGTTGGAAGGTTAAAGAAAAAGTTATAAAGAGAAGAGAAAGATGATAGCAACCAGTACGTGCAGATGCAGGGGCGGAGTTATTCTGAGGGGAGTAGAACAGGAAGTCACAACCATTTGGGAAGAGGAAATTGGGGTGGTCGTGGAAATGCCATGTGGGTGGAATGCGTTTCATTTGTGGCATGTGATGGTAATGTCACACGGCTTCTGCATCCCAAAGGGACAGTCAATGACTCAGGCCAACAGGAACCGGATTCCCTGAGTGTGCAAAATAGAAGAGGGGCTTACGATGGATAGTTCTCTCTTATGTATTTTTTTTTAAAGTCAATGAAAATATTGTCTCATCATTTCAAAGATGTTAGCTTTGAAATGAGGTGCTATAGGTTTCTAAAATTAGAATTTAGGATTTAAAATCCTATCTTAGTATGCCAGCACACAGTTATGTTTTCCTTTCATGCTTATGATAATAAAATATTTTACAAGAGCTGGTAAAATATCTAAGTTGTCTGCTCTTTTGCCATCTGTTACTGTTGCTGTTTCAGGCGTCGTCCCCTATGTCAACCACAATTTAACTCCATTATCTGATCAGTGAATGATCCCTTACATTTCCCAGGCATGGGAGAGAGAGGAGGGGCGGTGCCAGAAGCTCAACCACTAAGCTCAGTTGACAGACAGCTTTCCTGACACCATCCACACCCCCCCTCAGCATGTGGAGCCCAGAAGCTTACAAAGGGTTTAAACAGGGGTCCCTGAAGTAAAGCTTTTTAGGACCTAACTTTGTGGGAAACAAACAAACAAATGTTTGCTGTAACTTTTGTGTGTGGTCTGGCTGGAACCCTCATGGACAGCTGAAACAGAACCCTGGGAGTTGTTGGCCATAGATATTTCCCCATATCTCCTGTATTAGTTTTCTATTGCTGTGTATCGTATTACCACAAACTTACAGGCTTACAACAGCACTCATTTGTAATTGCACAGTGTCTGTGGGTCAGAAGCCTGGGCATGGCTTAAGTGGGTCTTCTGCTCAGGGTCTTACCTTGGGGTCCTCCTCCAAGCTCACTGCTTTCGGGCAGAATTCCATTCCTTGTGGTTGTAGGACTGAGGCCCTCAGCTTGCCCTCAGCATGCCCTCAGCTCCTACAGGTGTCCTGCTGTCTCCTGCCAGGGGCCCCTCTCCACAGTTTGCTTCTTGAAAGCCAGTAGGAGAGTTTCTGATTAAATCTCTCTGATCTCTAGATTCTTCTTTAAAGGACTCACCTGATTAGGTCAGGATCATCTCCCTTGTGATTAATTCTAGTCAGGTGATTAGGGACCTTAATTACATCTGCAAATCCCTTCATCTTTGCCGTGTAATATAATTTACCCGAGGGAGTGATATCATATACACAGGTCCTGCCCACAGTCAAGGGGAGAAGGTTACACAGGATATTTCATCAGATTGTTTAAACAAACCAACAAAGCGAGGACCCACGCTGCTCTGCAGAATCTGTATGTGGCCTTGGCTATGGGTATGTGACCTGCAAACATTTATTTATCCATGAAGGTCATCACACCTAGAAGGGTCTCTCTTGCAGGATCAGTAAGGAAGCTCTCACGCTGCAAATATTCTGTCTGTTGAATATGCAAATGTGAAGGATGTCACCTTTCCTAAAGAGGTGGCTTGGAAAAGCTCGATTTAACCAGATGAGAAGAGGCACACCCACTCAGGAGCTGACAGCCTTCCCCAGCATGCTGTGTGCTGGTGGGCCAGGTAGAGCGAGCCCAGGAGCTAATGTGACCTGAACAATTAGGCCAGCAGATCAGAGACCGACCCACACAGGTGCCAGCCAGGCTCTGAGCTTTTATACATCTGACCTCCCAGTCCTTAGACATAAAGTCAAAATGCCCCTCTCAACTGGGCACTTCTCACCCTTCAGACCTGCTCATGAAATGCTGCCACCTGCAGCCTGCATTGCCTGCCCACAACTGGCCATGGGTCTCTCATGGGGTTAAACCTCTTCCATCACATATTTGCATGGGTCGGGGCAGCTTGTCTGGAGTTCCCTGCTCATTTGAACAGATTTTTTTTTCTTTGTAAGATGATGTTACATCATTTAGAAGGAAGATGTGCATTTTTGTATTTGGAAGACTTTCCCCCCCCTCGCTTTATGGCGTTTATACTTTACTAGTATAGACAGGAAGAAAAGCATGCTTCCTACAAACACTTTATAGGAGAGTGACTCTAATGTGAGTCACACTTTCAAAAGTAGGTAAAATCAATTTCAATAATGCATTTTATTTAACCCACTATATCCAAATAATTATTCCAAGATGCAATTAATACACTGATTCATGAGAATTTACATTCTTTTTGGTACTAAATCCAGAGTGTCCTTTACACTACGGCACACCTCAGCTGTCACAGCCTTGTTTCCATTGCTTAACAACCACACGATCCAGAAGCTACTGCGCTGGACAACCAGCGTTAGAGCACAAACCAGGAACAAAGGCTTCCTGCTACTCACAACCGCTGCCTCCCGTACCCCGCCAGCAGGGTGGGAAAATACAGTGAGAACAAGGCCTGCACCACATCACCCAGGCTGGGCTATGCACAGGCTCTGTGCATAGAACCCCGGCCCCTCCGAGGCGGCCTGAGAGCCACACTGACAGAAATGCCCCTCGGGGATTGCTGACACGCACAGGGTCTTGGCCCCAGAAAATCACAGCTTCACATCTTCCCCAGGAAGGAGGAACTGCCTGGGGATCCCCACCGGCCTTCTGTCCTGGAGGACGAGCTGGCTGTGTCATTCGTGTGGCGAGGCACAAAGAGCAGGGCTCCTGCACCAGGCGGATGCCCTCACTCATGGGACCCTTCTCTAAACTCCTATGGCCCTTGGTTTGCTCATCTGAAAAATAAGGAACATTCTCATCACCTCTCAAGGCTCTTGTCAGGCTCACAAAGCAGAGTTTGTACAAACATGTTTTGTTAACTATCAAGTGTTGTGCAAATAACAGATTATTTCCACATCTCTGTGAAAGCAGATGGAGGCTGACCCCAGGGGAGCCATGGGGAAGGGACATTAAGCCCCCTTGTCTGTAATGAGGTTCCAGGGCAGTTTAAGGCCAGTGCCTCGGGGTCTTCAGAAGGGCACTGGATCCAAAGGACACTGGATCAGGCACTCATGAGGGAGTGAGGGAGTGCTGGAGAAATTGCTGACTTCGAAGATTTCCTTCAAGCTAATTCTGTATGTGATGAGCTGCCTTTTCTTACAAGGCCCCAAAGCACATATGTAAATCGGCAGAGTTTTAATAACATTCCCCAAAGAGTTGCCTTCACACTGACCTTTCATGCTTCCCTCTTCCTTGCCTCAGAATGCTGAGTCACCGGTCATGACTCAGATTCTAGCTACCCAGCCCAGAGGGCATATATCAGATCCCTGTTGCCCAAGAGTATAGTCTGAGACCCAGGCCTGTCCCCACCCCAGGTGCCTTCAGCACTCCTCTGATGGGGGTAGGAAGTGGGGGCAGGGAGGAAGCCTGTGACTATATCAGTGCCCTTTAAGCTCAGGCCTGGAGACCAGATGGCCTCAGAGGATGAACGTGTGGGGAAGTGGGAAAGACTCCACAATTGTGATTAGTGGGCTCCCAGGGGATGTCTGCTCCAAGTAATGCCTCCACAGCACCAAATGGGTCCACATGCAGACTTCCAGTGGCACCAGCAGCAGCATCATTCAAATCCCACTCTGCCCTGGAGACTCTGATCAAATTATCCCTCAT